CACGTGCCCCACAGTGAGGCAGGCGCAAGAACGAGAGGCTCACCTGCTCTCCGCCCGACACACGATGCACGGCTCTCCCATTGTTGGATAGCTTCAGTTCTCATTTTCCTGATTATTTTTTTTAAGTTAGAGAAATGAGAAACACATTTTCACTGGTTATCAATGTAACTCCCTTCACCTAGAGGAGATTTTTTTGCCTTTCATTGTAGGCTCATCATGGCTGTAAAGAGCAGCCTTTACAAAGGGGAAAGTCTAAGCGCTTTGATAGGGGCAGCTTTTAATTGGGAGAGGAAACTCTTTGCAAGAGAATCTATCCTCACAGCCAGTGTCAGTGGGATCCAGTACCAACTTCATCCTTTTCAAATGATTTAAGAACCCTGCATCCTTTTGAAAACCCTCCTTCCATCCCTTCTCTGTGGGGGATGTGTTAGCTTCGTTCGTTTTTGGAGGGGAGTTATGTTGGAGGAAGAATTTTCTAGCATCAAGCTGCTGAAAGAACAACTGCCCTGAGAATCAAGGCATGGCAGAGCATGCAACTTGGCTCCCCCAAGCCCAGCTTATTTCCTGGCTCTGCAGCAGAAGGGAAGGAAATCAGAGTACTGAAGAACAGCTGGGCAATGTTTCAGTGGTAAAGCCTTCTGCCAAGAAAGAGGAGAGATCCCTGTGTTGGTCCTTACTCTGAGATGCAAGAACATTCTCTAGCAGTAAAGCACCTTCCCTCTTCCTACAGTTATCACCTAAGCCCAAACTCCAGCCTGACCTTTGCTCCTATTTCCAAGATGAGTTGAGAGAGCTGTTTGCCTAAACTCATCCTCTCTCCTCTGAGAGAGCGCGACTGAGTACAGAGGTTTTTTCCCCTCACTCAGGCAAGATCCTCGCTTCACAGCACACAAGCTACTGGAGGAGTAATACAATCTGAACTCCACAGAAGCTAAAAGCCCTGTGTTTTCTTTCCAGATGAGGGCAATCAGTACCACTGTGGCTCTCCCCATCACTCAGGCCAGCCTGCTCACATTACCACTCACAGAGGACAAACTAACCACAGAAGTACAGCAGGCTTCTGGTTTCCAGCTAGCAAGAGAGGAGAAATACAAGAAAGTGGTTGAGAAACCTTATGGAAGCCTAAAGTTAGTGCAGCTCTTTATATAAGCGTCAGACTGAGCAGCTCCAGCCCTCCTCACATAACCATCTCCTTGCCTGGAAACAAGTTCCCTCCTCAAGGATGCTCTGAGCATCTTGCAAGGAATTTGGAAGGACAGACTTGCCAGCGAGAAGCATAAATTAGTCTCTGCCTGAAGGGCAGGTAAAACTTGAAACCAAACTGGTCATGACACACTTATCTCTAGTCCAAATACGACTAGTGAAAAGGGGACTTTGGCTTCAATACTTTTTTTTCCCCCCCCCTCAAATTAGCTTAAGACTTTGGTTTGGTTTATGTTAGAAATTCCACAAATAGCTGAAAATAAAAGTAGCCAGAGCACCACGTCTGCTTTCATCTTCACCCCGACAGAGCTAGTGTTTAGATGGATTTCCTTGCTTCCTTATTAGTTGGGCAGAAAAGTCACTGTGTTTGGACAGAGGCTCACAAGCTAGTATTTTACACAGTGTCTCCTACAAAGTCCAAGAAAATCAAAATATTCGTGGCTGTTAAAAGGCTACCAAAGACACCTTTCAAAGGTGCTAACTCCTCAGATACTCTTACGCTGCTTTTAACATACCCAAGAAGATTAATGAAATCCAATAACAATTTCAATTTAAAAAGCCACTTCTCAAACGAGTGTGATTCTCTGTTGCTAACTCTTGGCGCCTCAGTTTACAGAACTTTCCCAGTTGGTTTTGGTTTAACACCATTATCCCAGGCACCTTCAAAGCCCCATTTTGAAGGTATAAGCACTACAGCTCGCTCAGGCTTCCCCCCAAGCTACTCTGCCAACAGAGATAAGACAAAATAAGATGTTGGACAAATCTTAAAGGCAGATATGGTTACGCTCACAACTCATCAAGTTTCTAACCACACGTATTTTATTTTCACAGTTTGCAAGCAGTGACCTGTAGGTAGGAGAGGATATCTCATAGGATTAGGGCAGCCTGTCAAAACAGGCACATGGAGAAAAATCAGGATGACAGATCACACTAAAAATATAATTCTAGCTTCAGGATGCCCGAGGTCTCCAAAACTGACACCTCAGAGTACTGATCCTGGGTTGACCTTCAAAAAAATCTCACGATTAAAATGACTCGACTGCTAGGATAAAATTATAAATACAGGTAGGATCATCAGCCACCACCACCTCAGGTTTCTATATTGCTACAAAAAAAACCCCTCCACCTTATGAAAGGCCTAGCCTTGCCCAAAAAACTGTCAAATTGTCCTGCACGTAGCAGAAATCACTGGCCCTGTTTCCCTCACGCTCAACCTCAACTGCCACCCTTCTTCCCTGCAATTCCAAATCCTCCGCAGCACCTCCAGAGTCCTCTAAAATCTTTCAACACGGCCTGAAGCCTCCTCTTGAGCTGCGAGCCAAGGGGCAGCCACGTGCCAGGGACCATCAGAGCCAAAAGGGGGGTGGACTGGCTGCGTGGCCAAACGGAAAAGGGACTGCTGGACGCTCGCCGGGCTCCCCCTTCTCGCTGCCTTGCTTCAGCCCATCTGTAGGGAAGTCACTGGTCGTTTTGAAAAGATTTTTTTTTTCCTCTGGAAATCAGAGATTTGAAGCAGCTTGATATATCTAAGGATTTGAGGCAACAGGCGCTGAATATAAAAAAGCCCAACACACACTGCAGTCAAAACTGACAGTTTAAAGGCTACGTGGTTTGTGGAAATAGTTTACCGCCAAAGCAATTCGCTATTTTGTTTATTAAAAGCAAATTGCATTGAGAAACAGTTTAAAAAAAACCAAACCACCCTCAAATGCTTTGATGCACACGCTAACAGGAGAGCCCATGCCCTGCCTCCGTTTACACACCATTTTGCCATCCTGAGAGTAGCGCAGCTGCCTGCCCAGTCTCAAGGCAACCCAGCAGAGGGAAATTGCTGTCATCTGCTGCCAAAGGCTTTGCCACGGTTCCCTGCCAGAACCTCCACATAAGGACTCCAAATCTGGCGAGCTCAACACACTCATCTGACAGCTTTTATACCTTCTCTAACGCGATTTTCCTCTAATAAGCACTGATTTGTGTTAAGCCCATCTTGTCACAGGCTATGACTTATCAGAAGCCCCATCCAGCCACAAATACATTACTGGCACTAACTGGAATTGAATTGCTTAAGAGCCAACAGCTTTTTAAGTCTTAAGCTAAATAAAGCTTTATTACATCAATCTAACATTTAAGGGGAAAGACCACTACGCAGCAGCCAAGTGTGACTAAGTCAATAAGGTGGATAGTTGAACTAGAGAAATTGAGTTTCACATCTGACTGCTCCCACAAACATCTTTTGGGATTTAAAACACCGAGGGAGTCTGCGCTGTCCTGATGCTCAGGAGCAGCTCTTTCAGAGAGGAGAGCAACTTACTATCAGCTCAGGCTAAATCCCCCAAATCAACTCTAAAAGAAGGACTTGAGGTTGAGAAGGATTATATAGCACCATGACATTTCTGTTCTGCCTTTGGGTTTTTTTTTGGTGGGTTTTTTCTTCTTCACTATTTGGTCCAAAATTTGGCCTGGCTAGACAAAGACCAGATCTTTCATGCCACTTCTGAGCTCCTGCCTAAGGCTCTGCCCCAAAAGAGCGCTCTGAATTGCTCAATAGGGATCTGAGTGCCTGGATGTTTGCTGGACCGCAGGTACAGACAACTGCATTTCTGTCCTTGGGGGGGTGCAGGGGGCTGCCAAGCTTTAAGAATACACATTTGATGGATTAACAGTATTTAACACAACACTGAGGCTGCCCCAAGGCTGGTAAACCTTTGATCTGACTGAATGTAGAACTGCCCCAAAGCAAAGCCCATCATCAGCACAGGAACTAAACCCCGTTTGTGTCACCTCCCTAAGAGCTAAACCAGCATATTACGTTTCCTTTTAAACTCACATTTCCAAAACGCAAACCACCTTTGTGTTGTCCACAAGTGGAATGGAAGATGTTGTTATGGACAGGAGAATTTCTACACTTGGGCCCTTGACTATTTCCTGCAAGGCAGATGGATGGCTGTATTAAACTGGGCAAGTGGAGCGGCAAACAGAATGAAGTTGCGTTCAGGGTGGCTACTGAATTCTGAAATAGATGGGCTGGCACATTCAACACTTTTCCCCTCCCTTTTTCTTTGCTCTTAGAAAAGTATAAAGACTTTGTACGTATGGACAATTGTTCCCTACCTCACCTGCCCACCTCTGGGAACCATGCAGGAGCAGAGACTCGGGAATTAAGTTACAGCAAGAGCAGTTCAAGAGTTGCCATCGGAGCGGCTCTGTCTCTAAAGCACATCAGCACCACCCCAGCTGGTGCCTTCCTCTGCCCAGCACACCAAACACCCCCTCTGCTCCCTGGGGGGCACAGGGAGATCTCTAAAGCAGAACTACACATGACTCCAGACAATACTAAAGAAAATCACATGAGGCATAAAGTTATTTGCTAAATAAGAATTTGGAAGCAAGGCTGCTTTTTTACGTCCTGGAAACCTTCTAAGCTTTGGGTTAGGTCACTTCCATTAAACTATTCACTTTTTTTTTTTTTTTTTTTAAAGGGGAAATAAAAAGTAGTTAAGTTTACTTCAGTACCTGGAGTCTGAATGACCTGATCAGGTCTAGTTGATCTCAAACAAGAGCTGCAGGCAAGAGACACGCAGCTCACACCTGGAAATTAAGTACGTCCCTTCTCTGGCTTGCTTGGTGAGAAGTACCAGTGACTTGAGAGCGTGTCTGCAAACAGGACCTAGGCTCCAATTCTGCAGGTATGTAACATTTCAGTCCCCAAAATACTTACGAGATGGGGTTAATAGTAAGCTAGACTAAGCTGGAATCAAAGTATGCACGTGTTTTACTGGTACGGGTACTGAACTCACCTGATTTCTTTAAGTCCTTCTTTCTGGATGACTTGAAGGATCTCTTTATGGCTCATAGGTGTATTAGGATATTTCTCCAGGACCTGGTAAACAAAAGTAGATTGAGAGGAAGTTATTCATTTGCATTTTCACTGTAATGTTTAACCGCACAGCAAACTACATTTCATGGTTTGGACTTCTCCAAGGAAGGACTAGTGTCCTCCTCCCATCTCCTGACCAACCCTTCCATCTGAAGCACAGAAAGAGCAAAGAGGCTCCAAAAGACCGGCTAAAGGACTTATTTTAGTGCAATTCCCAAGTTTTATTTCAAATGCACTGCCTGTAGGTAACATTTCTTGGAGAATGAAACGCTCCACAGTAACAGAACTGGGTGGCCTCACAACCCTCGGCTCCACCCGGGAATGCTGCAGGAACCACCCAAGTCCCTCAGCCACAAAACTTCCAAAACCCAAATCCTGAAGGTCTGTAAAGTTGAAACAGCTACCGATTGGTTTGGTTCCAAGTGTTCGAGAAGCTCAAGGAAATCTGGGTTTCACACTGTTCGGGTTCCTTGGAAAAACCTCCGCACACAGTCCAGGGCTTCCAGAGCGCTTCCTACATTCAAGGGTCAGAGCCCACTCACCTCCCTTCCCAGAGGGCCAAGATGAAAAAAGGGCAAGAGCAGGCAGAGATGCTTAGGGCTTCTGGAGGAAGATGCCTCTTACTAAACGTCATTTGGATATTTTAAGCAATACTTGTACGGGGGGGGGTGGGCAGGAAATGCCTCATTTCCTTCCAAACCATCCACTTCTGACCCGAGCCCAGCGCATCAATCCTCCGGCCCTGACTTCGGCCTTTACCCAGAAAACAATACATGAAGTACCAAAACTTACAAGTGACTTTGCAGAAGAAAAATCACCGGGTTTAATTTTTCTGTTCAACGGCTGTGCAGAATACATGGCTTCCCCTACCCCCCCCCCTTTATTCCCT